TGTCTAATTAGATGATAACTCTAAATTTAATCAATTTTTTAAAATATACCAGTATAGTAAATGATTTATATTTAAATATATTAATATCAGTATGATCATATTCAATTCTTAAGTAATAACTTCAAGTTTATTTTATTTAGATGTTATATAAAAGCATAAATATAAAAGCATAAAAATAAAAATACTGATAAAATAATATGTAGTAAACTTCTTAAATAAAATAATTTAATATTTTTTTAATGAAATTGTGGCCGGTTATCGATTAACACTAAACTTAATTATATTTCAAAATAATATATATATATAATATTCAAATCCCTTGAAATTAATAAGTAATTTTATTTTATCTTTAGTCGTCATTTTAATTCACTAGAGTTTAGGAGCAAAAAGAGCTTTGGTATTTGAGTAAATAAATATTTGAAAGTATTTTAAATACAGAAGTTCTTATTATTTTAAAATAATTATACACATTAAATATATTAATACTCAGGCTCTTTACAAATATTTATACTAATAACTTTTTTTAAAAATCTAATTTAATTAGAAGGTAACCTTTGTTAATGAATACGTTGAATCCATATTAATAGTTAACTTATCATTTTAGGGTTTTATTTCCCTTAATTCTAAAATGATACAAAATAAATTTATCAAGTGTTCTTAATGGTTAAAGGATGTTGTTATTAGTGATGGATCGAAGGGAGCTGTTGGAGGCAGTCGCTCCCTGGAATTTTTATATTGTCTTATATTTTATATTTTTATGTGTTCTATTGATAATTTGTTTTCTCTTTCTCTAAAATTTTATAAGTTAATTTTCCTCTAAAATTTTATAAGTCCGTCCCACTAATATAAAATCTTACATCCGTCCCTAGTTGTCCTCCTTAGAGGTTATATGTTCGAGTAACTGCGACTCTAAGATATATGTACATTATTAATGATTTATAAAAATTTTAAATAAATATTATATTATAATTATCTTGATCTATTAAAAAATATATGAAATAATTGAAAAACTACATATAGAAGACGCTGAAAGAGTGTATGAGCTGTCGAAAAGAAAACAATGATCCGACACTTGATGGTGGGTGGGAATAAAGGGAGGAATATATGGATGAAGAACTCTATCAAAACTCACTAATTGCTTTTTTATTTTTTATTTATTTTCCCTCCCTTTAATGCACTTCGCACTATTAACCACTAAGCAATATTGGAGGTGAGATATTGATCCAAAATATAATATTTGATTGATAAGATACTATTTGATAATATTTTATAATTTAGGGTGAGATATGGAATTTTTTAAGTTTAAGAATTGACGTAAAAATTACAAATTTTCGTGAGAATATTCTATGATTTTTATACTAAAATTATAAATTTCATAAAATAATACTATATTATTCTGAAATCGTAAATGTAGATAAAAGTATAAAATTATCTAAAATATTATGTCTTAATCTCTTTCTTTCTTTTTTCCTCTTGATTTTTAGTCTTCGCCTAACTAATCTGAATATGAGTTGTATCGTACACCTAATTTTGGTGGGTGTTTTTTTTAAAGGATTTTGGTGGGTGAGTCTCTTAACGGGAATTTTGTGTATACTCAAGTACTTTAACTTGAGACATGCTTAAGCGGCATCAAGATGCTTACTACTTTAACCATCCTCATTGATTGTCTTAATCTCGTATTGATTATATATTTATAACAACAAAGCCCCCATATACAATATGTCAAAGGATTTTTTTTCGATCAATAGGGTTAGTTTAAGTGATAAGTATCTTGATATCGCTTAAATATGTTACAAGTTTGAGGCCTTATATGCAGAAAATTCCCGCTAGAATACACACACACTAAAACCAGATATGTGACACAACTCGATCCAAATTAATCAGGACAACACCCTAAAAAATCGAAATGACAAAAAAATGAATTTTCCAAAAAAATCCAAATAATTTGGGGTTTCATTAAAAGTTGTAGTTTCTCTTGTAATTTATATATAAATAAACAAGTCTAAGGAACATACATTTCAAACTCATGTTTCCTCCTATCAATCTTTCCTAGTTTTTCTTGAAAAAACAGTTTAAGGATCGGGTCACCTTGTCTTAAGTTTCCTGATTTGTTTTATTTAGGTTTAGAATGAGTCACTTGAAAACAAATATCATTATTTTAAATATTACTTTTATAATTAAATTTTTTACATAATAAAAACAATAATTCAAACCAGATCAATCTTTAACAAAAAAATATATATTGACGGTTCATGTTCAAAATTTCGGTTAAGACTACTGTAATGATGGTTCATGCTTTAAGATTAGTTGCAATACGGTTTATGTTTAAAATACATAAAAGAAATCTAAAATATATGATAATTTTAAATTTTTGGAAAAGCGATTGCCCGCATCCAACCCTCTAAATCCATCTCTAATTCAAACCACCCTCTAAATCCATCTCTAATTCAAACCACTTGTCTCTTCTAAAAACAGTATGTTACACACTAGCAAAATGTTTTTTTCCTTTTGTGTGTGAAAAAGTTGAGTATTTATTATCCAAGAAAACAATAATCTGCTACCAAGTACAAGAAGAAAAAAACCTAACAGAAAACCAACTTAATCCCCAAGCTACACAAAGATCGGTGATACCCATGTCAGTATTATCTTTACATTTGTTGTATGAACAAAGGCGAACTATGTTTTTTATACAAACAAAAAAAACCTTAATAGAACAAGACCTGCCTCTGAAATTCCTAACATTCCTTTCTAACCATACACTATACACAAAAGCACTTTAGGAGATCTTTAAAATAACCACCAGCAATGATTTACCCTTAAGACAAGCAAAAGTCTAGTCCAATTCTTCATACCATTTACAAAACGGTCTTGAGATGCAACATAACCCTTAGATGCTAGGCCAAATCCTTTCTAATAGGAGCATTAAAAAATTATATGGTCCCTCGATTCCATGCTAGCCCCACACAAGAGAGCCATTCACCAATATAAGACCCATTCTTTATAACCTATCATATGTAAGAAGCCTATCTAAGATTGACATCCACCCAATTATAGCATGTTTAGGGATGTGCAGAGGGAACCACAATAGCTTTTGTCAAATGACTTTAATCTTTTTCTCCCTGATTTCCTCCCAGATCCACCTAGCATTTACTGCAGGCCCGTTTCTAATTAAAGAAAAGATCCCAACATCTTCATTCCTCAACTTCAAGAGCTTTCTCATAATCTAACCTAAATATGTTTTACACCCAACCTGTCATAAGTCAACCCCTTTCAATATGTACTCACGTACCCAAGCAACCCACAATGACCCTTGATTAGCCAAAATATTCGACATAATAGTTAAAAGGCATTCCCTAGACCAGTACTCCAGGTTTTTTAACCCTAACCCTCATCCCCTAGACTTAAGGGAACATATATGCTTCCATCCCACATGTGCTCCTTCATAGAGCTTTCACATCCCTTCCAGAAAAAACGAAAATAAATCTGCTCGATCCTTTTGATCACTGCCTTTGGTAAGGGAACCTATCTGCACCAGTAGTTGGAGAGGTTATAAAGGACAGATTGAATCAACTGAAGCATTCCTCCATAGATGAGTAATCTCCCCAACCACAATTTCAACTTATCTACAATCTTATCAAGCAAAAGAGTGTAGTCCTTGGTTGATAACTTCCTTGTCACCAAAGGAATTCTCAGATAGCGAAATAGCAACTTCCCAACTTGAAAACCAATGTTCCCAATAACATAAGTAATGTAATCACAGCTCATAGCAACAAAAAATTCTTAGATTTAGCAGCATTTAACTTCAACCTAGAGATACTATAGAAAGCCTCAAGCACACTCAGCACGCCTAAAATGGAGTCAGTATCTCCCTTACAAAAAATACAAAGAACATCCACAAAACACATATGAGTTAGAGAAATTGTTGAATATGTATTTTGATATAACATTAAATTGTAAAATTGATTTTGGATTTAATTGAATTTGTCAAAAATTTATTAAAAATAATTCAAAGTTCAAATTAACTTTAAAAAATATGTTTTAAATATTTTCCAACTTAGTCAAAACTTTTCAAAAATATACTCGATCGTTTACGAGCTTTAAAGTTGTGATTTCAAGTTTTTTTTTTGCTCAAAGGATCGATCCCTTGGTAAAAGGATTGATACCCTTGTAAAAAGATTGATCCTTTGGATTCTAGAAAGTTTGGGATTGATCACTTTACAAAAGGATCAATCACTCGAGGAAAATGATCGATCCCTTTACAAAAAGGATCGATCTCTCGATGAAAAGGGTCGATTCCTTCCTTTAAAGGATCAAACCCTTTCTTGCAATGGTCAATTTATTTGAAAAAGGATCGATCCCCTGTGCATTAAATGTTATTTTTGGTTGATCAAGGTAACGGGTATAATGATCCCCAACGACTCCAAACAACTAGAATTGATAGAAAATGTATAAATTGAAGGTTAAAACATCCCAAGGTCAACAATAAACATATTAAACAAATATACCAACATCAAAGAAGTCATTTGTGCTTAATTTCTTAATCTTTTCTTTGTAAAAGTGTGATTTGGGTGAGAGCTTATTATTTGCAAACACATTTTCCTTGCGAGATTTTCTTTTGTTTGCTAAATTTATAATTACTCTTTAGGAGAGTGTATTCAAGGTTTTGGGGTATAAACCTTGAAGTATTTGTAAGGTTACACCTTGCCCTTAAAGGTAAGCAAATCTAATGGATTTGAGAAATCCTTACTGTGGAAGCTAAGGTAGTGGATGTAGACTTGGTTGAGAAGTCGAACCACTCTAAATCGTTGTGTAAAAATTTTATTTTTTGATTGCTTTCGCCAAATTCTTTGAAAAGTAAATTCACTCCTCTCTTGGTGTATTTTGGTTGATTGATAAAGTTAATAATAGGTATCATAGCTTGAATCATTTGAATGCCTAACAACCTCTTGATATGATCCGTAAAGAGTTCTTGCAATTTCTATATCAACCGCAGAAGATAACTTTAACCTCCGGCTCCTACTACATTGAAGACTCTCAACCGGTCAATAAGCCATCTTATTTCAATGGTGAAAATTATGCCTATTGGAGGAATAGGATGATGCTCTTTATTCAATCCAACGATCTAGGAGCTTGGTACTCTATTATGAAGGGATACTCTACTCCAACCAATTAGATGGATGATTGGAGTGATGAAGAGAAGAACAAGTTCCAACTCAATAAAAAGGTCATGCACATTCTACTTAGTTCATTAGGCCCGGATGAATATAGAAGAGTATCATCTTGTTTAAATGCCAAGGTGGTATGAGACAAGCTCCAAGTCACTCATGAATGAACCGATGAAGTAAGGGAAACCAAAATCGGTAGTCACAACCATAGCTATGAGAATTTCTATATGAAATCGGATGAAGATATCAAAGCTACGACGAATAGATTTTTCGTGATTTTAAATGGTCTCAAGGAATTTGGAGAAGTCATCCCTAATGAGAAGCTTGTGAGGAAGATGATTTACTCTCTTCCAATGTCTTGGCAATCAAAAAGACGGCGATTATCAAAGCTAAGAACCTTAAGTCTCTCACTCTTGATGAGTTTATTGGTTCTCCTCTCACTCATGAGTTGATGGTAAAGGAGGAAGAACAAGAAGAAGATGAAGAAAAGAAAAACAAGAAGAAGAAGGATGTTGGCATTGCTTTTAAGCCCACCAATGAAGATGAAGAAGACTTTAGTAAAGAGGTGGATGAAGATGAAGAGATGGCCAAATATTTCATGAAATTCAAGAAATTCATGTCTCCAAAAAGGAAAGATGTGAAACATGAACAAAGAAAGAAAAAGATCCCATCATATGCTACAATTGTCAAAAACTGAGACATGTGAAGTATAATTGTCCCCAATTAAAGAAAAATGGATCAAGCAAGCCAAAGAAGAAGGCATTTGTTGCTACTTCGAGTGATGAAAACATCACTGATAATGAAAATGATGAAGTAGCCAACCCTTGCCACATAGCTATCCAAGAAGATTCAATGGTAACTTCTAACTCTAGTGAATTAAATTCTTATTCTTTTAATAAGTTACAAGTTGCTTATGATGAATTGTATTTGGAATTTAAGACCATGAATTCCAAATATAAGAAATTAATTTCTAAATTCAAAAATGAAAATGATTTTATTTTAAAAGCAAAATTGGATTTTGAAAATCAAAATAAAATTTTAAGAAAAGATTTGGAGTTTCCAAAAACCAAAATTAAAGATTTTGAAAAAGAAAACTTTGATTTAAAAATTAAGTTTGAAAGCTTAATTAAAGAAAAATAAGTCATTTTAAACAATTCATCAAAGTCAATAATGGCAAAATGTTCACATTGTCATTATCATGTTCATAATTCTAATACTTGTCATATAAAGAAAAGAAAATTCTATAAAATAAGAGAAGTATGGGTTCCCAAGGGAACTAGAGGCATTGAAACTAACAATCAAGGACCCGAAGCAATTTGGGTACCAAAAATCAAGTAAGTGTCTCTTGTAGGTGTGTTGGAGCAATGATGAGCAATGTCAAGCTATTTGGAAGCACTAGGCACACAAGGAATGACACTTGAATAAAGGGAGACTTAACAAATCAACCTTTATTCAAGTGGTAAAATATTTCAATTTCATGCAATTTCATGCTTCTATGTGATTTTATATGCTTATATGCATGATTGAGTGTCATCGCTTAATGCTTAATTGCAATTATTTAGGAGGAGTTATTATTGCATGAATTGCACATTTATGGCCTAATATGCTTATGTTGATAATTTTGGCCTTAAATTTGCAATATTTGATTTTTGTTGTGAAATGATGTTCTCAATGCTTTATAATGATCATATGTGTTGTTTTTGAGAATATGATATTTAAATGTAGAAATATTGAAAATATGCATGTTTAGGATCTTTAGAGCCATTGTATGTTTGTGTGACTTGATTTATACCTTATTTGTGAAAATTATGGACTAAATTGATAAATAATAAAAATTTGCATAATTTTTTGTTTCAAGTTGACTTTCATGCACATTTAGTATCTTCTAAGTCATTAAAATTAATTTACAATCTATAATATGACTTAGGTTGCATCATATTCGATTCAAGTGTCATCCAAATTAGTCCTTGGAGTAAAAAAGCAATTTTCCAAAAAAAAAAAAGATTGATCCCTTGCATTCTCAAGAAAAAGGATCGATCCCTTTTTACGATGGATCTATCCCTTTACATCAAATTCAATTAGGTGGGCTATTTTAAGTCTATTTGAGCGCATATCAACCATTTTCTCCAATATTCGAGCCAATCTCTTCCAAAACACTCTCAAGTCAATTTTTCATCAAAATCCTTCATCCCAAATTGATTTCAACTAAGTTTTGTGTGTGATTCTTCCCTTATCCGTCCTATCAACGTATTATTCTTTATTTTTTTAAGAATCATCACATTTGGGTAAGAATTTTTCAAAACCCTAAGTTTTTTAAATTTTTAAATTTGAACAAATTGGGTTGAATTAAGTGGTTAGAGAACAAATTTTCATTGAAAATATTATTTTTTGTTGCAAGGAACATTACCCTTTATCAAATTTCTTTCAAAAACCCAAACTTTTATCTTACACCTACAAGGTGTTTGATAAAATTCCCAAACCAAAAACCACCTCCCAATACCATTCAGCCATACCCAAATTTTAGCCTCAAAGTTGGTTTTCAATTCTTCCAAAAATACTTTTTAGCATCCTTCAAACATCCACTTTGCTCTAAACTCATATTTTCTTCAAAATATTTCAAAATGCCAAAAAGAAAAACGATGGCTTCAAAGGGACAATCCTCAAGAACTCTCAAGTTGCTTCTTGGATTGATCAATTTTTAAAAAATTCCAAAGCCCGTGAGTGATATGACTCATTTTTGTATATCACCCAATTAAAGAAACTTGAAAAGTCGATTTTGAATTTTTAAACAATCTAGGTTCTCCGTATGAACAAAACTTAAAGGACTTGAAACTTTTTAATTTTCTAAACTTTAATGGTCATTTATATCTTTCTTTGGTTCGAGCTTTTTATTCTAACACTTGTGTGTCATCCTCTTCTCATGATGGAACCTTTTATCAGACCATTGTTTCTCATCTTATGGGTCAAACCATCACCATCACTACTGACTTTATCGCTCAATCTTTAGATCTTCCTCTTACCGATGATGATAATGAAAAGGGCCCTTTTCCTCCAAATATGCATCTTCGAAATAATAGAACCACTCTTTTCTCCCTTTATAACCGTTTACTTCATCTCATCATTACTTATTACATTCATGCTCATGGAACGAAGTTGTCTACCATTCGAGAGAGACTATTGGTGGAAGCATTTCATTAAACAAGGTCACAAGCCCCACCTCGCTAGCATGATCTCTCTGAGCATGATCATGAGCGTCATCAAGTCAAAGGCTCAACTGAGCCTTTTGTACAGGATGCACCTTTTCCACTTATTCGAGCTTCTTGATGTCAACACTTCTTATCGACTACATGGAGGAGCCCGAAGGATCCATGCATTGGATTCGTAGTTGCCATTGAGAGCATAAGGATGAAGATGAGCATGATGGAGATGAGCATATGGATGATGCTCATGATGACAATGATGGAGATGAGCCCGAGAGAGCGGCTCATGTAGACCCAACACCTCCCGCAACTTTATTTTGAGATTTTGAGGAGAGGATACTTCAGTCTATTGGATCTCTCTGAGCACATGTTCATGCACGTTTTGATGAGCTTGAGACTCGTTAGGATTCTATAGAGGCTCGTATGATAGAAGAGGTTCGAGCGATTAAACATCAGCTTAATGGATTTTCTTTCTCTTCCTTCTTCATCATCATAGATAGTCCATGCGTATCATTTCATATCATACATTATAATTTACTACATTTATGTTGTTTGGACCTTTGATGCTTTATTTGGTACTTGAATCTTTTTATTTGGTTATTAGGATATTTATGACTTTGATAATTTATATTTTGTATGAACTTACATATTTATGTTAAAGTACCTTGATGCTTCAAATATTAGTTCTCTAATTTTTTATTTATTTGATTCTAGCTTTATTTTCATTCCTTTATCTGCTTTGTTATATGATACTGACATTGTTGAATTATTTTTGATATAACAAAAAGAGGGAGAAGTAAGTCATATAGAAAATTTATTTTTCAAAGTTAAAATTGAAGCTTAGTTTCTTTTTACAAATTCATAAACTCTTTTATTATTTTCCAAAGGGGAAGATTTTGCAAAAACAATTTTTCAAAGAGTTGTGTCATATAAAAAAGGGGGAGATTGTTGAATATATATTTTGATATAACATTAAATTGTAAAATTGATTTTGGATTCATTTGAACTTGTCAAAATTTTATAAAAAATAATTCAAAGTCCAAATTAACTTGAAAAATATGTTTTAAATGTTTTCCAACTAAGTCGAACCTTTTCAAAAAATAGACTCGATCATTTTCACGCTTTAAAGTTGTGTTTTCAACTTTTTTTGCTCATAGGATTGATCCCTTGGTAAAATGATCGACCCTTTGACCAAATGATCGATCCCTTATATTCCATAAAGTTTGGGATCAATCCCTTCAGAAAAGGATCGACCCCTTAGCCAAAAAGATTGATCCCTCAAGGAAAAAGGAATGATCCACTTCTTGCAACGATCGAATTATTTGAAAAAGGATTATCCCTTTCACAAAAGAATTTATCCCTTATGCATTAAATGCTATTTTTGGTTGTAAGTAATGGCTATAATGATCCCCAACGACTTCAAACGGCTAGAATTGATAAAAAAAAAAGGTATAAATTGAACGTCAAAGCATCCCAAGGTCAACAAGAAGCATATAAAACAAATTTACCAACATCAAAGAAGTCATTTGTGCTTAATTTCTTAATCTTTCTTTGTAAAACACTTGTGAGCTTTATCGTTTAATTTTTTTAGTTGTGATTTGGGTGAGAGCTCATAATTTTCAAACACATTTGCCTTGTGAGGTTTTCT